ACCAACTGGCGTGCTGCAACTGTATAGACCCCACTTCGTGAAATGTTGGCACAGAGGGCTCTTGTTGATTTGCTGGCCCGCCTTCACTTAGGGCGCGCACTAGGCTTGCTGGGGCCTTAGCCCAGAACATGTACATCATGGCAAGGCCCCTACTTGAGGGCTCAATCCTCACATTCCATTCCCCTGAGCTTCGAAAGTCTGCTGAGATGCTTACTTCGCAGGTGCCTTCCCTTTTAGCTTCTGTTCATAATCTGCCACCACCTGAGGAGCTGTTTCCATCAGTTCCTCCCGGGTAAACCACCGATCTTCTTTAGGATCCGTATGATGCCTGAATCTGATCCGGTACTCCCTCTTGGGTTTAGGAGGTCTTCCTCGACCCAGCGGCTTCGGAACAGGCATATCCCTGTGATCCACAATGTCATCGATGTCGACTTGTCCGTCCATGGTTGGGGGCAGCATCGATCTCCTGGAAGGGAATTGATCAGTCTCAGCGAAAGGTGCAAGCTTTGAGGCATGAAAGACTAGGTGAGTGCGTAGATGACCAGGGACACGGATGACGTACGTAGGACCATCCATTTCATCTCCCACTACATCCAAGACTTCCCAGGGACCAAAGTACTGAGGCATTAGTTTGCGAGATATTTCGAATTTCTATCCTAACTCACTAGCCTTGACCCAGACATGTTCCCCTACCTGAAATGTGGACTGCCTGCGATGTTGATTCTCAGAAGCAATCATGGCTTGCTGAGCCTTCTTCATATGTTCAACAGCCTCTTGCAGCAACTTCTCATATTGCACACCGTATTCAAGTGTGCCTGGAGTTGCAGCAGGTCGGTTTTTAGGTAGGAGGAAGTCTAATGCTGATCTAGGCTTCCATCCTAAGTGCAGCTGGTTAGGACTAACGCCGRTACTGCTATGTATAGCATTGTTGTACAGGCTGGCGATGAGAGGTAACTGCTCATCCCAGTCATCCTGGCTGGGCTTGATGTAATGCCTCAGCAAGTGCTGTACAACTCTATTCATCTGTTCGGCTTGTCCGTTGGCTTCGGGATGATTCCCTGAAGTCATTTGAAGTTGACTGCCCATTTGTTCCGCAGTCTTCTTCCACAACTCGCTTGTAAAGCGGACGTCTCGGTCACTAATGATGGTCTTTGGTAAACCAAAGTCCCTTACCCAGTTGTCCTTGAACACAACTTGATGACGTATTCTGTCCTGGCTGTCTCTGGCATCGGTATTAGTCTAGCGTACTTGGTGAATCGGTCAATGATGACGAAGATATGCCTCTTACCACTCTTGCTGGTCACAAGAGTGTCCATTAAATCCATGGAAACACTCAAATCCTGGACCATCAGGAATAGGTAACGACTTCAATAACCCAAGCGGTGCTTGAGTTCGCGGCTTGTCCCGCTGACAGACCTGACAGGTCTCAACATACTTCTTCGCGTCATCTAACATTCTCCTAAAAATAAACTACGCAACTGTTCACTAGATGAAACTACCAATCTCTTTACTCCGGCCTTATCAAGATAGACTAGCCCATCCACCATCACAAACTCTCTTTTTGTGGCCTTGTCTTTTGCCTGAAGTTTGCGGATGATGTCCATCGTGACAGGGTCTTCCTGATAGGCTCCCACCAATGATTGAGTTACTTCATTAGATACGCCAAATTCAGAAACTAGCGCACCTAGGTAGTCTGCTCTACGGGATAGCGCGTCTGCAACCTTGTTTTACTCTCCCTTCAGGTACTCAAGCTTGAAGTCATATTGGTCTATGACCTCAATCCATCGCTTGAGTGCATCAGAAAGAGCAGGTTGAGTCTTGATCCATTTGAGGGTCTGATGATCAGTCCTCAGMTAGAAGAACCTTCCCAAAAGGAAGTGYCTCCARTGGACAAGTGCCTTGTAGAGAGCATAKARTTCCCTTTCGTAGGTGGACTTAGCCAACTTCTTYGATGGCATCTTCTTAYTCRTGTACTCAATCGGTCTCAACTTTTTCCCATCYTGCTGAGCCAGCACTGCGCCAATGCCGTATTGGCTTGCGTCAGTGGTCACTATGAATGGCTTTTGCGGATCAGGAACCATGAGAACTTCATGATTCATGAGTGCATGCTTCAATCTCTTGAAAGCATCTTCACACTCATCACTCCAGTCCCACGGTGTGTCAAGTCGAGTTAGATCAGTCAAAGGAGAGGCGACTGTAGAATAGTTCTTTACGAAGTTCCTATAGTAGCCGCACATTCCTAAGAATGATATGACCTCAGTGACTGTCTGAGGTCGTGGCCAGTCTCGAATACTAGCCACCTTCGCAGCTTCCGGCATGATTCCCTCCGCGGATACTTCATGACCCAAATGTAGAATCTTTGTGCGACCGAACTCACACTTCTTTAAGTTGACCTTATACTTGTGCTGTCGTAGGAGTGAGAGAACTGTCTCAACATCCTGTGCGTGCTCCCCGGCAGACTTACTAAAGATCAGAATGTCGTCTAGATAGACTATGACAAACTTATCTAAATGGTCATGGAAGATCCGATTCATAGCGTGCTGGAATGTACCCGGCGCATTACAAAGACCGAAAGGCATCACTACAAACTCGTACAGACCATAACGAGTCTGAAAAGTTGTCTTGTGTTCGTCCTCAGGTGTTATTGCGATCTGGTGATATCCGGATTTCAAGTCTATCTTTGTATAGTACTTGAATCCCTGCACCCTATCCAATAGGTCGTCTATGCGAGGTAGAGGCTCTGCGTTTTTCACAGTGATGGCATTGAGGCCTCTATAGTCAATGCACATCCTCAAAGTACCCCCTTTCTTCGGTACGAATAGAACGGGTGATCCGTAAGGGGAAGTACTAGGCCGAATCCACCCCTTCTATGTCAGCTCCTTTAGTTGCTTTCGAAGTTCATCTAACTCGGCAGGGGGCATCCTATAGATCCTTCCCTTTGGGGTCTTACTCCCTGAAATGATTTCTATAGCGTGGACGACTTCCCTATCAACAACTCCTGAGGGCTCCTCGAACAGATCGGGGAACTTAGCAACGACGCTTTCTATCTCTGGGGGTGTTTTAACGGCCTCCACTTCTCAGAGACATAAACGAGGTACATACCTTCCTCTTGGTTTTGCTTGTAGTAGTTAGCAGCCATAGGTATCTACAATACTGTTGGCCTTGAACTTAGTCAATCTGACAGTTCGACCATTGGGCAACTTATGCTTGAGCACCTTCTTATCCAGTCGAACTGGGGCTTAGCAACTTCGAGGTAGTACATGCCTAACAACATTTCGAATGGCAAGTCGTCGCTAACCAAGAACGAGATCTTATGGTTAAGCTCTCCTCCTCCATAGGAGAAGGTACAGACTACGTCCTTGATGTAGTTTGTGACAATCATGCGCTCTTTGTTGGCCAAAGTAGATGCTACTGGTCTACTAAGGTGCCATACCCGGTCCTGTAGGTGCAGCCT